GAAATTAGTTGGATCAATCTTCCCTTTAACCAAACCTAATTAATCTCTTGAAATTACCTTTGAAATATCTCTCACCCCATTTCCTCGTATCTTCGAAACTCGTGTTGATCCCTTTGTTTGTGCCTAAATCAAGATCTCTGTAGTTCAAATAACCTCCTCTCGGCGATGCAGAACCATACGGACTCATGTAATCGTAAAGCGATCTCATCCACCTAACATTCTTATTCATCTCCTCGACTTCGTTCACTTTCCATTTCACCATATACTGTATATTGTACAGATTCCCTTTCCTATGTGGAAATGGTGATTCTGTTTCTGAAATCTCACTCATTTTCCCATCTAATGGCTCTAAGATCATCAATGGAGTTTCTTTCTCAAGAAACCTCTTGGAGATCTCTTCGAAAACGTTTTCAGGAAGTGGTGTTTGTACAAAATCTGATTTTGCTTTGTAGTAAAGATCTTCGTATCTCTGTTGTCTATCGAGCAAACTCTCTAACGGTTGTCCTAATTTCCAATTAAAGAACATTACCGATTCGATCCAGCTCATTTCCTTGCAGTCTTCAGATCGTAATCCGAGTTCCGGAAACTTTTGGTTCATTAGAGGAATCAGTCTATCGATTCCTCCAAGAAACAGAGCTTGAAATGTAGATTTCACTCTTCTTGGATTCCCTTCCTGAGTATTGTCAATTATGACTCTGATGAATAAATCTTCGTCCACCTCTGATCCTACGTATTGCCATCTATGAACAAGTTTGGTCATCTCAGGTTTCATTGTATGTTGACTTAGGAAACAAGTTACCTTTTCAGGAGCCCTAACAAGTTTAACCTTCCATGACAATACAACGCCAAAACTTGCGGCTCCACCTCCTCTAAGCGCCCAAAATACATCTTCTCCCATCGCTATTCGGTCCCGAATTACCCCGTTTGCGTCCATCAAACGGGCGTCCACGACGTTATCAGCTGCTAAACCATGTCTTCTCATAAGTGTACCGAATCCTCCGCCGCTAAAATGTCCACCAACTCCAACACTTGGACATGTTCCTGCCGGGAATCCATGGATCTTGCTGATTTTCGCGATCTTGTAATAGAGTTCGCCTATTGTTGCGCCGGATTGGATCCACGCAGTTTCGTCAGTGAGGTTGATGTTGATCGATCTGAGGTTAATGAGGTCGATGATTATGAAAGGTGACTGTGAGAGGTAAGATAGACCTTCGTAGTCATGACCACCACTCTTGGTTCTTACTTGCACACCAAGTTTCCTGCTGCAAAGTATTGATCTTTTGATTTCGGATTCTAATTTCGGTTTGACGATCAGAATCGGCTTCAGGGTGGTGAAATTCAAGTTGAGGAAACTAGAATCTGTAGATGAAGAATGAGAAAAGTCGGTGTAGATTAGGGAATCTGGTGTGTTGTTGGTGAGATTTTTAGGGTTTTTGAAGATTGAATTGGAGTGATTTGTCGACAAGCAACTTTGAAACTGTTCTCTTGTCGGAGGAGAATAATCAGAATTGACACATATAGTTAAGAAGAGAAGAAATAGGGACAAAGCAAGCTCTCTCAATTTTGTTTGTTGTTTCTTGTGTTTGAAGTTTCAGTCTTTCAAGAGAAAAGTAGCAAGTCTATCTCTACTCCAAATTATTATTATTCAGATGGTTATCAATATGGTCAACATCCTTTACTTTTTTTGTTCCGTTATCCTACTTATAATCCATTTCTGAGCATAATATTTAATAAACGAGGATTTCCAAGCCCTTTTACTGTTTAATAAATATACTATCGAACCCGAGTATCAACAAAAAGGTTCACAAAAGAAGTGGTCAACACAATTTATTGCTATGTAATTACCAAAATGAGCACTCTTCCTATAAAATGCCACTATTTTTATTTTATTTTATTTTGTGGTCACCACAATTTAATTGTTATACAATACCAAGTTCTCTTCCTATAAAGTGCCAATAACTAATTTTTTAAAATTTGTTTTATAATATATGTTTCTGAATATGATCTATTGTTTTTACTTTTTGAATAACGATTTTGTTTCCCTTCTGTATTTAAGACATAAATGGCAAGAGAATGAAGGGGGCTTGACATTTCAAAAACAATTTATCTCTTTTTAAGCTTTTGAGAGATATCAAGA